TTCTTCTTCTTCTTCTTCTTCTTCTTCTTCTTCTTCTTCTTCTTCTTCTTCTTTCTCCTTTGGCCCGTGCACATTCTCTTGAAGCGCTAATGAGGATGGCAGCATTTCCCCTTGCAGGGTTCTGTGTGTCCTGCATTGCAGGAGGGTGTATTCCTGAACTATATCAAGTATGTGTAGTAGGTAGAAATACAACAAACAATCTCGCAGCCTCCTCAAAAAATGTGTGTATTCATCTTCACAGGCTCAGAGCACAGAGGCAAAAAAGCACAGTGGAGTCTTAGGAGGTAAGCATGTTACGATGAGGGCAATGTTTAACCGAGCTCTGGAAATAGAAATGAATGAACTTTCTGTTTACGTACAGTGAAACAGTTTTAGCTCAAGCTAATCAAAACAGTACCAAATGTGACCTTTCCGCTTATGAGCAACCAAGTAACTTGTATTTTTTGGCTGGCATTGTAGGCCTACTCTAGTCAAAACAACAATGTTGCTATGTTATACTAGCATATTATTATGTTTTCCTAAATGTTACAGATAAACAAGATATTAAGTTAGAGTCATTTGTAAAAAATGTCACTTTTTTGTGACCTCAAGCCATTTCCATATCGGCGGTGTTGTTGTTAGGTTCTTTGCTGTTGCACACGTAGGCGTTTGTCTGATTCCCAAGCGCAGTTATTTCTTTGAGTATATCTACAATTGGTAGAGACCTAAGTAACTTTGAATATCTGCACAAGACAAACGTTCTAAAAAAGGCGGAAATAATGCTTAGTGACCATAGCCACCCACTGACATCGGAATTTCAACTATCGACCCGCAGTAAACGATACATTTCCAAAAAAGCAAGAACAGACAGATATAGAAATTCATTCGTACCAACTGCAGTGAGGTTACTGAACACACAGTGCTACAAATGAAACAGAGAGAGAGAGAGAGAGAGAGAGAGAGAGAGAGAGAGAGAGAATGAATGTGTTACGGAGCGGGTTGTCCCAGCCCGTGAGACATGTATTTACTTGGCATAATGTCCTGTCTTGTTGTGCGTTTGCGTGAGTGCACCTTTAAGTCTAACTTTTGTAACGTCTACTGCCATTGTTAACGACCAAGACAAATTTCTCCCTGCGAGATGAATAAAGATTGTCATTGTCATTGTCATTGTCATTGTCATTGTCTGTTGTATCCCACTCATCCCAGTTTTACATGGCAGTCAGGATCGAAGCAACACGCCTTTTAAATGATCCTAATTGTGTCGATGGGAGGAGTAAAACATTTACAGGAGGAACAATCATCTTAATGATGTTAAAACTTAATATCTATTGTACAGGACCAAGTCGTCAAACTATTTGGCCACATCATGCTCACGCGGTTGTACGTTTAAAGAGTGTTTAGCCGTTAGGCAATATCGGGATACATTCTTTTACAAGGAATGATCTAAGTCCTAATTGTTTATTTTACAGCTCCAAACATTTTGATTTCGAACTGGTAAGTGTTTAGTCTTCGTAGTTCCCAAAAAATAAAATAGAATGAAAAAAAAAAATTCAGCCAAGGTCACCAAGTGTCATAAAATGCATAATACATTCAACTCGAATTCTCAATATAGTTTCAAATGATAGTAATGTTTGAAAGTAGTAAACCAAAACCACAATAAAGGAGGTTACTGAAAGAAGTCTATTGATATGCAGGTATAATAACTGGTATTTCACTTAAGAAATACATTCCAAATTGAGCACTATTAAATCAATTTTCTTTTTCAGAGTTACTTTCCAAGCTGACTGACAGCACCAACACTACTTCCGACTACACGTTTTCTTTTGGCAACCTGTTCCGGTGTCTGTGTTGTCCACGAGAGGACGTCAAAACCGAAGATTTGAGGTTCAAGGCCATTCTAGAACGACTTGACCATCTGGATACACGAATGTCGACCTGGGAACCTGGACAAAAACAGGAAGAGGGAAATCCCAGAAAATCAGACGAATCGCAGACTTCGACAGAAATTGTGGAAGTGACCAAAGGTACAGCATTATTCTCTCTCTCTCTCTCTCTCTCTCTCTCTCTCTCTCTCTCTCTCTCTCTCTTTTATTTTTTCTCTATCTATCTGCCTGTTCCAAGACCCGGTTTTCCATGTGCTGTCTTTTTTCGATGCCTTCTACGTTTCACACCATAAGTATTTGTTGTTTCAGGGAAAGTACATGGGAAGGTAAAGGCACACATGTATGTGGCCCTCGAATTTTTCCCCCTGTCGCAGATAGCACGCGATGTATGTTGGCGAAAGCCATACATTGTATTGATATTTTGCTGAAGACACAAGTTGGAGCAAAAGCACCTCACAGCTTATGCGCACAACTTAACTTTTTTTTTATTGTAACCAAACAAGACAGCTTTATGTACGATTAAACTGCTCCGTGTCAATAGAAACCACAGCTTTGCGTACTTCACATCTTTGTAATATCAACAAAAATTGTAGGTTTGTGTAAGATTAACCTCTGTTTGCGTCAACAGAGACCACAGCTTTGAGTGCAAGTACACAGAAAAAACCTGAACAAAAGAATCCCATGTCGTGGATCGAGGACACAGCTTTGGGAAAAGGAGCTTTAGAGCGTATTGACGAGGAAGAGGTGAGCTTAGATGTTATAAGTGCAGTATATTGGAGTTTTATTCTATATCTAAAAATAGACATATCATATCTCTATAGTGCTGGATTAAGGTGAAATGTAGTACTTGGCAATTCGATGCCAGGTTAGGACAATCGTAACATGGAAAAGAAGAAGAAGAAGAAGAAGAAGAAGAAGAAGAAGAAGAAGAAGAAGAAGAAGACAATAATACATGACAACGACAACAATGACGAAGACAGGGGTGGAGGAGGAATAGGAAGGAAGAAGGAAAGGAGAAGTAGGATAAAGAATAGGTAGATGGGGCGGTGGAGGAGAAGGGGGGGGGGTAGACAGAAGAGACACTGTAACTGTGGGTTCCAAGGCTACTGATCTATGGAACCTGATCCCTCATGATGGTCCCGTGACGTCCACAGACGGATTTCTGGCACCAGCTCATTAAGCAGTACTTGTACCCAATGGAGAAGGACGAAAACCACCAGCGACAGGTCTCTGAAGGGCTTCTGGAATTAAGGAACAAAGTAAGTCATTACACTATTTTATATGATAATATCATTTATGGTTATATCTACAGTATAATATTTACGAACTGTTATGTTCACAATACTATATTGTAATGTGTATAATGTATACATGTATTGTTATGTTTACAATGTATTGTTATGTCTACAATCTATGTATGTTTCTCCTATCAACATTGTTCATGTTGCATTGTTGCTATTGATACCAGTGTTGTTGTTGTTGTTGTTGTTGTTGTTGTTGTTGTTGTTGTTGTTGTTGTTGTTGTTGTTGTTGTTGTTGTTGCTTATTGGTATTATTGCAATTGTTTCTCTTATTGCTGCATTGCTGTTGTTGATTCTGTCTGTGCTGTTTTTGCTGCGTTGCTCTTACTGCTGTAGAAATTCAACATTCTACTTAAAAAACATGTCTCGTTAGAAGGTGGAGATATCATTTGTTCATCTGCAGCTCTTTACTGAAATAAGGAAAGAAACAGATTCACCTAGGGATAACAACATTTTTCTCTCACCTCACAGGTCTGCCTGGCTTTTCTGGCTACGAATTCCCTGTTCGTCATTCTGGTGTATACACTCCAGTCCATATCAGCGTCCACCACTAACCTTTCTATCAGGGTGAGTTGTCGTTGAATCAAGCATCTTATCGTATACCTGATATTTGATATCTACTTTGATTATGGTGTTAAACTGGATGTAACACATAATATGTGGTAATAATGACAACTTGGAAATAAATTAGGATGAAACAAATTTAGGATCTATTAATTAAAAAGATGAGGTCTTTTAGAGGGTATCCATAGAAACTACGTTAAAAATGTACCATGGTAGATTCGCATAGCCTTAATTGCAATCCAGCATGAATCCAAGCAAACACACCATTAGTATACCCTGAGTCTATTATTCAGAACACGTTGATATAAAGTAAGCACTGGAACTTAAGACCTTGTGCGCATATCCCATGCTTACCTGCGGTCTCACACAGCTAAAACGAGTGACTTTACACAAGCAATACACAAAAGGATTAAGAGGTGCGTAAAAGTAGCTGGAAAAATTCTATCGCTGGGAAAGTAAAATTTCTGTATTATTTTTAGAAGGTCATTTTACTAAAGTGAACTTGCTGAAGAGAAATTTGGCCGACAGGCTTATGACAAGGAGAGAGAGAGAGAGAGAGATAGAGAGAGAGAGAGAGAGAGAGAGAGAGAGAGAGAGAGAGAGAGAGAGAGACTTATTTTTGCTTACTTTTGTTATTGAACATGCCCAGATTCCGTGTGACGTAGAAGCCTTCGAAGGTGAGAAAATTGAGCCAGTCAGCGTGACGTTTACTCTCGTCTTCGGCATCTTGTTGGGGATGCAGTTCTTGGCAATGCTGTTCCACCGATACTCCACCCTCCTGCACATTGTGGCTATTACAGAGATAAAGGTACTACACAAAAACATTAGCCTATCTTTTTGAAACAGTGTTCTTCGCCCCTCTGTACGATTTGATCATTAGTCAGACGAACTGCTTTGTACTTTATAATTAAGACCTTCCCGGACTGAGCAGGATATAACTTCCCAACAGAGAGACAAGATAAATACTTTATAAAGAAATTAACCTTCGGTGAGAGTCTAAAATAAGATGGTTTAAATATATGCAACAGAGATACATGTTTTTAGCTGTCCTTTGAATGCAATGCCATTGATTCTGCTGTTATACGTAAGAAATGAATCAACATTTATTGTATTCTTTTTACGGAAGTTGATACTTCGTGATCAGCTTACAAAGCAGAACTTACCAGCGTCTGTGACGTATTGTAAAGCGCATCGCAATCGCACACAGAAGATGTGGGTTCGATTCCCCAATGGCGAGAAATTTTATAGTATATCCCTGTCTGTTTATCTGGTGGGACGTGTTGTGGACGTACAACTTTTGCAATTACATAGAACAGTATTTTCGGAGCTTAAGTACTTAATATTGCAAAAACAGAGGATTTTTGCCTTCCTGTTAGCAAAGAGTTGTCATGTCTGTATCGGGTGCCAGCTGGGTGCATTCCGAACCCAATGGCGTTGTGTCTGAACTTTCCCCTCTCCACCCTTTGCTTGCTTACAGTGTGTGTTAAATCATTTGTTCCACTTCGTAAATTACGATTAATACCTATATATCAATAAGGTAAGACGGAAAGGAAATAACAGACCACATTATTTTCCCTTTCTGGAAACTACTGTCCACGTGGAGCTTGCAAAGGCATACGCATACACAAAGGTGCAGAAACAAAATGTTAATTTTATAGCCCCCCCCCCCTCCCACCCCCTAATAAACACGCACTCAAACACACACGCACTCACACACTC